ATCCTGAAGTACAGATTTGAACAGCTGGATTCCGAGTTACTGAATGTATATATATGAAGAAACCCTTTAATTAAGGAACAATTAGCTAGACAGCATGAGCACTTAGTTTTAATCGTCATGCCCTGCACTGTAACTTATTGGTAGTAATAAGCTCTTCAGCTTAGTGATATATTTTTCATATCAGTTTCTTCTAATACTGTGGTATCCTGATTTTTCAAACAAAAATCGGTCAAAGAAGATTTTGTTGCGAATTATCTTCAGGTTCGAGTAATCTGGGTTCAAGAAATCTGTGATTCTGCCCTGAAGCCTAGCTATTTCAGTGTGTTGAAGTGCCAGTAATTAGCTTGGCTGCGAAGCCTAGGAAAATAAAACAAAAGAAATCATATCAAAGTTGTTTGAGGAAATGATGAACAATTTCTTCTGTTTTACTCCCCTAAAGGCCAAGGCCAAATTGATATTAGGATGTGTTAAGTTTGGCATATGTTTAGTTTTTTTTTGAAAATGGGAAAATATGTCAATAGAGGGAAAAATGTTGTGATACCTTTATGGCTGATGTACTCTATTGATGAATTTTGTACAACTCTACCCATCTAAAAACAGTTATATAATCAAGTTTAGACAGAAGCTTATAACCCTTTTTAGGGTTATGTGTATATGCTCCAGGTTAAGAACATTGAAGATCACTTAACGTGAGATTACACGCATGCATAAACAGCTTTTGAACATTTTTATTAGTGATTTTTGTAGCATACAAAATACATGTAGGAAAAAAATTGTTGAAACATTCAAGTAGTGTTATTACAGGATCAATTATTTATTTTACGATTACTGCAGAAATTCTTGTGCACTCATTGGTTAATTTTTATTGTCAATAAGCGGACAGACACATGAATTTATAATTTATGTGATGCGTCAATGAGAGAGAGCAGACAATTTGACAATTAAGTAAAAGTAGTCTGCGGATCCACAGCTACTTTGACAATGTTATGACGAAATTCATGATCAATAACGGGACAGACCCATGAAAACTGACGTCAATTTGCTAATTACACAGTTAGTCCAGGGCATATAGGAACAGGAAAACAGGCAATTTCAACTGAGGAACCATGCTGAAATACTGTTTTTCCCTTAAATTTTGCTCAAGTTGTATCTAACTGTACTCTTTCTTTACTTGTTAAATCAATGATCTTAGCCACACTATATTTGAAATTCTTTTCAGAAGTAATAGTTGATGAGCTGTATAAGCATCACTGTCTGCGGAGGATTGGTTGATTGTTAATTTATTGCATTTCAGTGAACTAGAAGTAATTTAGAATTCTTTAAAAAACGTTAACAGTAACTATTGCGAAAAAAATCAACCGAGTTTTATACTTTGCAGCATTTTACAAGATTAGACCTAATTGCTAAGGGAGAACATAGCCTTTTAACATATTTTTATGTACATTAAGAAGCCTTCTTTGGATAAATTGCATATGACTGTGTGTAAGTTCCAAGTCAGCTTTGAAATTAAAATAATATGAAACGCACCTGGTGTTTTTTCACCTAATTACTGTGGTGGGAATTGATAGAAGCTCGTTCACGAGTTTAGCCTCGTTTCACAAAGGCGTGCTGCCTTTTCATAAGAGCGTCTCACCAATCTCACTTAACGTAAGCGCCTTTGAGTAGTATTGCGTGACGGCAGCAATAAAATAGAACGGGGGTGGTTTGGGATGTACTTTTTACCGGATGGGCGTGGGTATTGAACTCCAACCTCACCAAAAACCCCCAAAAGAGAAAGAACCACCCTCACCCATAAGAAACTTGGAACTACAAATGATTTACCAGGCAATCAGTCAATCGGTCAGTGAATCAATCAATCAATCAGTCGCCTCATAAAACAAGTTCTGGGACCTACAACTTCGTCATTTTATAGCTTATCCTAAATGTATTTCATTTAATTTCAGCTCTTGGGTCTGTGTTTGACGAAACGTGTGCGGAACAGACAACAGAAACTCTATTTTGACTGAGGCAGGTGACGTTCCGAGCTTCGGGCTGTTCTGACAACCACCGAGAAGAATCTTTTAACAGGAGTAGAATCTTTTTAGCTAGTATTTAAATAGTAAGATTATTGTTGAAAGCAACTAGGCGTGGAATAAAGTTCGCATATTTCGTAGAGTACAAGGAATGACTGGGATTTCAGTAAAAGCGTACAAAGAGATTCATCTTAGTTTACTCTAGCCTCCTCCAGTCGTTCAGTTAGTTGGGGCGCAGCGCGAAGAATGAAGCACAAAAAGAATTGGGTGGAAGCGCGGCGCACCATGTACCAAGCCTCTCTCTTCTTTTTTCGCTTCGCTGTTGTTTTCGCGCGCTGCGTCCTAACTAACTGAACACAATGCTGAACACATGGAAGAGGCTAAGTCTACCCTTCAGTTGACAGGGGATCGTTCGCGCATATTTTCAAGGGTCAGTTAAGTTCCCGGGGTTAAGTTGCACATTATCGATGAACCTAAGAGTCTGCGAGGGAGCGATCCAAAAAAAGGAGAAGGGTTTCTTTTCCTTCTTAAAACTGAGAAGAGAGAACGTTTGGGTTTGGTTAAGCTTCAAATCATTTATTACCAATGGAGTTCAAGTCACAGATAGAGTACACCCTCAGTACATATACATGTAAGATTAGTACATTGCGAATGGGGTAGTTAGGACATTTAGAGGTAAATAGATGATTGAAGCGTTGAAACTGCTACAGAAAAGAGAATTCCAAACTAGGTCGTTGAAATGTATTTTAATATGGGGTAGATAGATTTAATATACCGTATTTATAGACGTAAAAATGAGCTTTTCAAAGACTAGATATTTATTTAGCATAACGATAACGTTATACTTTATGACATGGACATCCGTCGTATGTCCAAAAAGACAGCCACTCGTTGATATACTTTTGTGAAAAGTTCATGTAGTTAATATAAATATCAATAAAGTAAACTATATGACAAGATGTTGTACGTCGTCCTCCCGACATCAATTTAGTGGCAAATTTGTCTTTGTGATTACGCACGCAAAGCGCGAGGGGGCAGGAAAGCCAAACGAAGAGTAGAGAGTGGTACACACCGCCCGATCTATACCCCATCAAGACTCCCGTATTTTGCAACACTAAGGAACATTGCGTGACTTACGAACAACCCAAAATTTCATCCTTGGGTATATTCATTTCGCTAATTTCAACCTCGATATTCTTATAAAGAAGATTACTCATGAAACAAAAAGAGTGTAATGAATTTTAAAAAAAGCTGTGGTAGACCGTTCACAGCCCACTTTTTTCTCGTAATTTTTATTTGATCGTTGAACGCACAGGTAGAATCGCGAGAAAACTGGACGGGAGGGTTGTACATAAGTCACGTAATGTCCCTCAGTGTTGCGTGACGAACCTCGAAGTTCTCGAAGGTGTTTATTTTTATCCCTATCGGGGCGTTTATTAAACAGATGAAAATTACTGAGAGTAGTCAAAAACTATATTAGGGTTTAATGAGTTACTAGACGGTTTAGCGTCTAGAAATTTCGTGTGATATTCATACTCTGGCTAGTAGCGTGGTCGCAGTCGGAAATTCCGAAGATCCGAGCACTTCCGATTCCAAAAAAGGCAGTGACAAGTCCGTGGGGAATTCACAAATACAGTGGGAGAAGCTCAGTACAGATCTCGCTCAAAATGGTAACGTTTTATTTCTCTTCAGATTTAGATATTTAACGATCTGTTCATAGTGTCACACATTTATGACCATCTTTCTTTTGCAGACGACTTTATCGGAAGATCAAATATCTGGTAAGCTTAATGAGTTCTCAAATTGCCCGGTAACTTAAAAGCCGCTTCATGATCAAGTTCAGCTTATATTTTCGTATCTCTGTGACTGTAGTTTCCTCGTATTTTAATATTGCCTTCTCTTTCGTCTTATGAACTCATCACTTCTTTTATTCTCTAGAACACAAGGAAGCTTTTATGCTCTTCGACCGCAGAGGCGATGGAAAAATTGATTCATCGCAACTGGGTGAGGTGCTGCGATCTCTTGGACACAATCCTACACAGGCTGAAGTCAAAAAGGCTTTGAACGAAGTCGATCCCAGTGGTACGTAACCTTGAAATTTGTATCTTTAACTCATAGCAGGCCAAATTATGATTAAGGTGTGTTACAAAGAGCGAATTCAAGCAATTTTAAAGTCATTTCGTATGCGGAAAGTTGAAGCTTATAGTTCACTGGTAAATTGTTGGCTTTTAAATTTCAGAAGCTCGACAATTTCTGACCATTTCTACTCGTAAATGTTACGTCTAGAAATTTTTTGTTGTTCATTTTGTGAAAAACTAACCGCAGTTTTGCTTCCTAACGTGTACGTAATGTTTTCGCTTTCCTTCGCATGTAGTTTTCATAACAAACACGCTTTGCAAATAAATGCAAACTTTCGTGGCCGAGCAATCTTCGTGGTAAACAGCGGAAAAGGATCTTTGATTGTATAATGTTAGGTTCTAAAGCTTACTAGTAAGCTTATTTTATTGTCTAGAAGTTATAATTCTGTGATGTATTTTGTAATAAGCTTAATACTTGATTATACCACAACGGGCAAACTTCTCGGTGGAAAGGTAAACAAATCATCTGAAATTATGCATAGGAGTTTACATCAAGAAGAAATGTGTTCAGTGATAACAACTGGGTTATTTGTGTGTTCTGAATGACAATCTGTTTTGTTATGTCCTGTATTTACTGCGTAAAGAAATATATTTTCTAACAACAGAACCACTGAAGCAAAAAACAATGGCTTGGTTTCAATGCTTTGACATGGGTCATTGGAAGCTAGCAGTGCTCGAGAACCAAAGAGACCTTTTCACTTAGTCGTAATTAAGAAATGCAAATGAGCCTTTCTAATACGTCGTTAAAAACTACAATAATTTCGTTGTTAATTCTAATTTGTGGCCACAAAAAATTATTTATAAAAATAATTGATCAAGAGGAAACTGCAAAATTTCTCTAAATTTATAGACATGATCAACTTGTGTATTATTTATTATTATATGGCTTTGGCTTGTGGCCGATA